TCCATGCAGACCTGTTAGCAAAGGCGAGAAAACCTTGCTCCTGGACCCAGGCAGCCTCCCCACCTTCCTGACAGCCCCAGGGACTGCAGGATTAATTTGTCCCATTGAGCTGGGTTCTTTTCTGCCCAGATTTTCCATTTATTCTACAAGTCTGTCCTGACATGGAAAGGATTATTTTCAGTTGTGCCTTATTTTTAAGAACTTTAATCCCATTAACTGTCCATGAAAGAAATTCATGCTTGTGGTGGAGATTTAGGTAGATTTTGAATATTTTGTTTTCTTTCCTTATAAGTATGCATTTAATCATACTGAAATAGTAAAATGCTAGTGTATTTTACTATTGTGTAGCACACATATAGCTGTATACTGTATCTGCCCTTCCTTATTCCTAGAACTTCAGCTTTTAAGTCCACAATTCCAGTCTAACATGGAGCACACAACTTCCATTAAGGCTAATAAATTTCTCAGGGTGAAAATCCTGTATGTGTTACCTCTTTTCTAATGGGGAGAAGCCCAATCCCATATTTCCCTTATAACTTCAGCATTGTATGAGTCATAACCTGAAATTTATTCTTAGAATTTCTGCTCTTTGGTTTTCTACTGATTTCATGGAAGGCTGTTGCAGGCTTTCCCACGGGTATACGTTATACTCCATTACCTGTGGAATACCCTGCAAATAATGGCTTATTCAGAGTTGTCTTTAGCATTTCACCTAGCATTGTATGTGTTAATTTGAAAGCTGAGCCCTCATAGCACAGCCTAGATCTGCATGGTTTGAAGCTAAGTTTCTGGTACAGGCTGTTGTGGTATTCTATAGAATATTTGGTGGACAAAAGTAACACAGCAAAAGAATACCATTTAGTGACCACTTTTCTTGGTCTAATTCTCCTTAAAATAGAGTTTCTCTGATATGATCTGGACCTCTTTCAGAGGTAACAACCATCACTGTTCTCTCCAGAAGACTGTGTCTCCTGCATAGAGGCTGAGTAACTATTCCATTCTTCCCTGGGTCCCTGCCACTTTATTGTTAATCCAGGACACATCAATCTGCAAAGCCTGACATTGTTCTGCACCTTGGATCCCAAGATCCACCAGATGACAGTGTTTTATAACAGCTGCCCCAACAGTTTTAATGATATTGGCCAGGACATGCAGGCTTCCCAGAAGAGACCTCTTCATTACAATAAAGCATCCTGCTGATTTTGTTTCAACCCTGAAGAACACATTTTTATTGCCAGGATCTTTCCCCTCATAAACTGGCCAAGCAGACAGCCTCTGGTCATCCCTGAGGTTTCTCTTACTATGGATCTTCATTGTTTTAAATTTCTAGGTGACAATGCATCCGTCCATTGATTTATCACATACAACAGCCAATTAAAGCCACATCCTCTGAGTTCATAACATTAACAGCTCTGCTGAGATTTATGTTGCTCACTGTTTCATAGAATCATAGCATGGTTAGGGTTGGAAAGGACCTTAAGAGCATCTAATTCCGCCCCCCCTGCCATGGGCAGGGACACCTCACACTGAACCATGTCACCCAGCCTCTGTCCAAGCTGGCCTTGAACACTGCCAGGGATGGAGCATTTACCACTTTGTGGATGCTGTCTTACAGAGATGTAATCTCTCTTCCATCACAAGTCTGGGCTCTTCAGTGAGAATCTACAAGGGTTTGCTCACAAAAGCAGCTCCACTTCACTTCTTGATGCCCTGTTTCAAGCACTGCCACATCCCATGTGGGTTGGGCTGTGCTGTGAGCCACTGTGCTGGCAGTGCTCACTGTCAGATGGGTGGCTGTGACGCACCAGTGAGTACAGGGTGCATCATCACTTCTGTCTGCTGGCTGCAATCAGAGCTGCTCTATTAAATGTAGCTCAGGAGCCAGAGTAAAAGCATTAAGCCTCACAGCACTGCATTAAAAGTTGTCCTTCAAAACCATTTTGGACTGAAGCAGTTTTTTTATCTCTATTGCTTATAATTTGCACTTCAGCAACAAACTGGAGGCCAAAGTTGATACAGAAAGTGATCCCACATTCTCAGTATGTATCTTCATTCTACTGAATGTACCTACTCTGATTGCTGCAGATCAGCATGTGAAACCTTTACACACCTTCATATTACCTCACCAGGACAGTTTGGGTCAGGAGGGAAGGGCAGGGGATGTGGGTATTGATTGCACAGAGCACCATGCTTATGGTGGAGGTACAATTGCACTGGCAAAATCCTGTGCTGTGGTTCTGGTACAAAAGCTGTTAAGAGGCGAGAACATTTATTTTGCCTTTGACACACAAAATCCTGCTTGTCCATTTGACATGGTGTGGATAGGAAAAAAGTAGCATTGTTCATGGAGAGGTGACCTCACCACCCTGCTATGGAACAGGAGGGATTTCAGAAGTCCAAACTTTTCCACTTCTGATCGGTGTGAGACAAGCATCTTTCAAATGCTCAGTGGATCTCTGCTGTATGCTTTTAATTTAGTAATGCATTTCCAGTCAAAAGAATGGCTGCCAAATAACCTTTTGCATTAGCCTTTCGCTAGCTTTGCTGCATGCCACAGAAGAGTCTTCAGCCATCAGAATGGTTGCCTTGTTTAAACATCAATGAATTGCAAAAAAATTCATTGTCACCTTCTTTTCCAAGAGATGTACTTGGCAGAACAGGCTGTGGGGAAGATGTTAGCTCTCAAGTCAACACTTGGTTCAAGGTGAGGAACAAGCTTCCAAAGGGTTGTTCTTCAACCATGCCTGGAAAATATTGCTTTTAGCTGCACTTCTTCAGTCAGTGAATAGGAATGTTTCCTATTAAGGCACTGTATTTACTTGCTTAGCATCCGTTGCCTTTACTAGGGGTCAGGGAAACAGGGACCACTGCTGCTTTTCTTGAGTTATGGTATTTCCTTCAGCCTCTGCTCAGCTGGGTCTTGAACCTGACATGCCCCCAGTCTCCAAACATCTCCAAGACTAATTTTTTTCCTTCAAGAATTCCCTGCACTGCAAATTCTGCTTTCCAGCAAGCAGTATTCCTCCATCCTGACATAGTTCAGCTCCTCTGGATCATATCCAACCATGATCAGGTCCCATCAGGATATACACAGCAGGTATGTGTAGCATATAGACATAGACTATCATCCTGCCTGAGGTGTCCAAGATGATACAAGAGGCTGGGAGCTACCTCCTTCTGAAGGCAGTGATGGTGACACTGATCCTACTCTGTGGACCACTAGCTTGCAGGAGACAGCTCTGAGAGATACACAGCTTAGTAGCCAAGGAGCTGCTGATGCATTAACAATGTTCTCGGGTATGCTGCCCCAAACTTTCCTTGTCAGCAGCTGTCAGAGCCATTGGAGCATGCAATAAAGTCCCCCAGTCACTAAGGGTTTTGGTCCTGCCATGCTAAGGCAGAGGCAGCCACAGCCATACACAGCAAGCAGATAAAGCATGAAGGGCTTTGTCTTTTGCACTGGACTTCAGCAGCATTAATCCACCCCTTGACAGTCTGACTCCTTGTGGTCTTGCCTCATCTGGGCTTTTCAGAGGAGCCTTGGAGACATATGATCCTGCCTGATCCCTTCCATCCTTACATCTTTCCTGGCCCAAAGGAATGAACAAAGATTTGTTCACAGATGAGGCTAAAACAAAACTCTGAAGCCCAGAGGCCAATACAGCCTTCAAAGACCTGGTCCATAGGGAGCCAGATGCTGCACTCATCAATTCCCAGATGTTGTTCCTTAACAGCAGTATAAATCATTTCATTCTAGTTGATCAGTATTTCCAACCCTCTGGCACCAATTGCTATCACATTTTAAATGCTTAATATCTGATCCTGTTGTGCTTGCCAGCAAAAGGACCATAACCTGTGACTCTTCCTAGGACTATTGCTCACTGAAGCCTCTACATCTGGAAAGCAGATAAAATAAATGAGGAAACAAAAGTGTTCCTGGACCTTTGAGCTTTTATTAATTGGTGCTAGTTACACTGGTGCCCGCATAAAGGAAAAGGCATGATGACAGGTAACCCTTCTGGTGGCAATGTCAGTAGAAGAGCCAAGGACAGCTGCTGTGTTTTCTAGGCCAGAATCATAAGCACATAGTGAGGTGGGTACAGGGAACCTATACTTTTCCATTCAGCCTGGCACTAAATGTAGTCTCTGAAATGGTCTTTTGAGGACCCCATAGTAGAGGATCTAATGAAGTCAAGTTAAAAAGAATTCATTTTCTTAACAATGTCAGAGCAATAACTCTACAGAGCAAACTGTCAAGACAAGTAATAGGCTCTCCCTTCCTGAAATTCTCAGCTCAAAACTGCACTCTCTTCCTTAAGTTGTCTTTTAGTTAGGTGCCAGATCTTGGCTCAGTAACAAAAGAAGTAGTTGTACTACACAGGTGAGTCTCAGTAACAGACTGATCCTTTCAGATAAAGCTAGGAAAAAGAGTGGAAGAGATGATAGACTGCAAAGGAATCGTGTAGGATAGGTAATGTGCAAAGAGAATTAGCTATGCTTTAGCACTCTGCTCTCACAGCATTCTGAGCATAAACATCAGCCAGAGAGAGCCCCACACATCTTCAGTCCCATTGTGCTCAGGGGGGTTAGTGGGGTTAAGACACCAGACTCCCGTTGTACTGTTGGTGGCACATAGCTGGGACACGTGCATCCTAAGCTGCTTATGTGTGGCCATTGCTTACGTGCGGGGGATATGTGAGCAGCAAGGTTGGGAAAGAAAGATTTGGGTCTAGTCAAATGAGGTATGTCTGTATTGCATGAAACAGTGGAGTTGGAAGTGATGCACGCTCTTGGACACAAGGTGGGAAAGCTAGGTTCCACCAATGGACAGTTTCTGGCACATGAAATAGCTAATTTGAGGGGATAGGAGTATCTCCATGTTATTGCATAGTATGGCAGCTCAACATTGGGTACTATACACGCACTTTAAAATCTGCTTCTACATTGCATGCCATTTCCACCTGGTTACCAAACTCACTGTCTCTCTTTCTCACTTCTAGGTTTGATAGTCTACTTAGGAATGATGGTGGGGGCTGTCATGCTGGGCGGCCTTGCTGACAAACTGGGAAGAAAGCAATGCCTCATCATATCACTTGCAATCAACGCTGCCTTCGCATTCCTCTCCTCCTTCGTCCAGGGATATGGATTCTTCCTCTTCTGCCGCCTTATCTCGGGCCTCGGGTGGGTGATTGGTGAATCCATCCCAAGTCCTAGGGGAGTCTCATCATGGGTCAGCAGTTTGGATGTATGGGGTGGGAGAAGGAAGGCTGATTGGGTGATGCATCTCTGGTACCAAGCCACGATGGCACTGCTGTTTAACATGTGTGGTTGCATTGCCTCACTCTTGACCCTTAAGGCATTAGTGGTAGGAAAATTTGGTCATTGGCATTCTTCTGGTACTGTCCAAATTGTGCAGTTGGTGAATGAGACTGATAAATGCCCACCTCAGTTTACAGTTCTCACTGCCAGGGCCTCCAGTGAGGCCCTCAGCAGTTCCCATTGCCTGCATTTTGCCTTCCTAAAATGAGTGATCACAAAATAACACCAGAGAAGATGTCTAGGTGAAGAACACTGCCTTTATATAAACTGTACAGGAAATTCATCTTTCATAAGAAGGACCTTGTTTATCTTTGATGTCTAAGGCCAGTCTAGCCAAAGAGATATGCTAATTTTCCCTGTAAGTCCCACCTCTGTGCACTCACACTCTGTGAGTGTGACCTTCCCTCTTTACATGTGCAGTCCTACCTACAAAGACATTGAAGATGACTCTTATTCTTCCCATGTGCTGTTTTTTCTCCTCAGTATTGGGGGTACCCTCCCTATCGTGTTTGCCTATTTCTCTGAATTCCTATCTCGTGAGAAGAGGGGGGAACACCTGAGCTGGCTTTGCATGTTCTGGATGATTGGTGGCATTTTTGCCTCAGCAATGGCTTGGAGCATCATCCCACATTACGGTAATTGGTTTGTGCTTTTGATTTTTGACGACACCGCATTCCTGCATCGCTAAACTACCCCAAAACCCCGCACAGGTAGCATTATTCAGTCCTTACACATCCCAGCATAAACAACACTGAAAATAACAGATACTTGAAGTGCACACAAAAAATCTGATAAATAGACTGCAGATTGATTGACTGATAGTAAGGCTGTAAATAGGACTGATGAGGGCTGCTTTGCATCAAAAGCTTCAAATACACCTCTGGAATTATACTGCCAGAGCCTGAGCTCTTAATCTAAATGTCAGAGTACCCAGGGAAAACTGGACTGAGATCTTATTGCAAAAAAGCATCCAATTATCAAGAATAAGTAACTTTAACCAGGAAATACTGGGTGCTATAAATGATTGCAGTGAGGACAGTACATATTCTTCTCCTTAGCCAAGTGTCAACACTCTCAGGGCTGTATATTTGGCAACACATCTTGCCAGCATGTGACAGGCTGGAGTCACATCTGACTTCCCCTAAATGGGTTTGGGAGCGGAATGGGTTCTCTGCCCAGAGCTGGAAGTAGATGGATGTACTCTGGAACACATTGGTGCTCTGGGGAGCAAAAATTTGCATGTTGTGGTTTTCCTTGTAACTCACGTATACCCCAGGAAACATCAGAAGCAAATATCTGCTGGAAAAGATTAATTCCCTTGGTATTCAGTGACACCAGCTGTTGGCAAAATCCTGTTTGAGGAAAGTAGGACAGGCCACAAAGACCATGAAGAAGAAACCACTAACATACACCTATCAAAACATTTTTACCATGTTTAAAGTGCACTCAGCATAAAGAAATATTCATGCTTTTGATTGATTTGACAGAGACGGTTGGAACAAACAGGCAAACTTCCTGCAGAGTGGTGTCAGGTTGAAAGGGTTCTGTTATCTGCAACTACACTTGCTTTAAAAAGCCCTCACGTATTTCCATTACATTTCTTTTTCAGATGAGTTTTTTGTGCTATATTTTTATAGCTTCTCTTTTTGATTTCCCATGTTCCACCTACTATTTTGGAACTTGGTGAAATGAGTAGAACACCATGAGACTGATTCAGATGAGACCTCTGCAAAAAACATCCCTCGATGGTTTCCTCAGTGCGTGGATAAAAATGTTTATAGAAAAGAATAGAATTAAACATTCCTTCTAAGATTTGAGCCTAGGAAAGATAAAAGGAGCAATGTAAGAATGATGCTGTACTTTCTAGTCCTTAGAAGGGGAACAGCTGACCTGGTTAGGTATCAGGAAAAGAGAAGGAGAGGGGAAATCTCAAATGCAGGATTAAGATCTTGAGTCTTCTAAGTTTGAATCCCAGCTCAGGGCTTGTAGGTCTGGAAAAAACCAAACTTGATTTCCTAGCTTGCTTCCATGAAATGTGAAAACCATGTGTGATGTAGCAGATGGAAAGGAGCTGTCTCTAACGTGCCTCTCAGATCAGAGAAGCTTTAACCTTTATAAACTTTTTATAACATCATCGAGAAGCAATAAATTACGGCCCTGATTCCTCTACCCTTTCCCACCTTTACTTCCCTACATCTTCATGGAGCTATTCATATCACTAGCTGATTTCTAAGCTCAAAGATAAAAGTTTGTTCAAAGGCAGAGCCTAAGCAAGTATGTCCCATTTTCTGTAATGAGCATGAACTCAGTTGCTGTTACCTACTGAGCATGCTATTGAAACTCTAAGAGCCATCATTACTAAGAATAGCAAACTTCCAGCCTGTCCCCATGTCATACAATGCTCTAAAGTTCAGAGCTGCTTTCGCAGAGAAAAACTCAGAATGCCTTTGTCAGTATTGTTACTTTTTGGCTTTTTCTGTTTCCAGGTTGGGGGTTCAGTATGGGAACCAAGTACCACTTCCACAGCTGGAGAGTCTTTGTGCTTGTCTGCTCTCTGCCCTGTGTCGCCTCCCTGGTGGCACTCAAATTCATGCCTGAAAGCCCACGGTTTTTGCTGGAGGTAAGATGATTCATCTGAACGTGGCAGTCTGATATCAGCACAGGATAGCTGGTCCCTAATGCGTCACCCTCTGTCTGTCTTTGTTCCATCAAACATGCATAGCACAAGCTCAGAGGCAAAAGGGTCTATGCTAGCTCCACAGATTGCTTAAGCCCCAAAGATAACAGACTATGGGGTCAGTCACAGTGGTTAGTGGTTTACTGCCATGTGTGGTACAAAAGAAGGCGGTAAGAGCTGGGAATTTTGTAAGTCAAAGGCATTTTGAAAACATCTCACAAGAGTTTGGGCATGTAACTAATGAATCCTGGTGGAAAAGCAAAGGGCGGAGTACATTTTACTGAGTAAAACATAAATCTCAGAAATCTTTCGCAACTATTATTTATCCCCATTTCACAGATGTGAAATGTGGCAATACCTAGCGCAAGTTAACCCTGCAAGTCTTTAGCAGAGGTTTGGTTAGAGCCCTAAATCTCCTCATCCATCCCCTTTTATCTAGTTTGAAGGCTCTGTCCCTGACTCCTTTTCTGCCTCAGCCAGTTTTAGGGTAACTCATTTCCTCAGCACAGAGAGGCTGCACTCTGTGAATACAAGCTGTTGTCAGCTCTTTGCCTTAATGCAGGCAGTGCTGTATGTGTGCTTCTCCACTATACTGGGCCTCTAGAATTGGTTCTATGCTTTAATAAATTACTGAGCTGGAAACCCCAACATCTGTTTCCCTTTCTTTGGTGCTTTCAGATAGGTAAACATGATGAAGCCTGGATGATCCTCAAGCAAGTTCATGACACCAACATGAGGGCCAAGGGCGAGCCAGAGAGGGTGTTTACGGTGAGTTTAACACAGCCATCAGTATGTAATAGCTGGACTTACCTTCTTCAGCGCAACACAGTGCCAGTTTATTCCTCCTTAAGGTTCTTTTAATGTAACCTCCCCTAGTAATCAGAAAAAGGACTTTGAGGCACATTTTATGTACTTAAAGGTAGATGTCAATCTGGCTTTATTTCAAGGATTAGTCAATCCTGTGAATTGCAGTGAATACTCTTCATTCCTGGTGTTACTCTACAGCATATAGACCAGTGAATTTCCAATTACACACACAGGTAATTAGTCTGCTTTAAGAGACTAAAACCAAATAAAAGAGATATTAACCATGTGGGAGATCTGAGTCACTCCTTTCTCCATTCTGGCTTCTAATCAAACTCTGATTAAACTTCACTTACCTTCTAATGAGCTTCCCAAACTCCACCTGCCTCATATCCAGTCTTTAACCTCTCCAAGGGAAAGTGGGATGAGTGGCTATTACTCATTAGTCTGCTGCTTGTTGTGAAAAAGGTCACATCAGTGGCCTTTGTTAATAGTAAAATCAGGTAAGAGGTCTATGCTGGGGTTAGGTGCAAATTACTGTTATTCAGTTGTAAGCTCCCAGTGAGCCAGCCAGGGAATAGCTTTTGAGTTATGCTTTTAGAGATGAGAGGATGTGTGCTTTTAAAGGATGGAGAAAAGGGGATATGGTTATATGTAAAACACCTTTTTAAGGAAGGAGAGCAGAGTTCCATGCTTAAAATGGTTGTCTTGAAACAGGGCTCCTCAGGAGTGATCCTTCAAGAAATTAAAGTTTAATATCTGTGCATGACAACTGTGTGCAGGTTCAGGTGGGTACTTAATGAGCATGGGTCGTTTTTAGGCTACCGGCCATTTGACTAATGTGAGCCTTGATAGCAAAGAGAAAACGTCTCTTTAAATCCCTACTTGGCTTTGTTGTAATGCTGAGCTGGCCAGTCCTGCTGCGTGGTGGGAGGAAAAGAGGACTGAAATTCAAATGTGTGTGTATGTGTGTGCATGTATACATATCTATATCTCAGTGTATGGCACTATGAGAGCCTGAGCTGAGTAGGAGAATGAAGAAGCAGCTGTACAACACCCATTAGTGCTCATTACTCCATCCAGCAGTGTCATGACTGCTACAGCATGAGCTGATCTCAGTATCACACCTCGAGGTGTCGCGTACCGGCTGACTCAAGATGTACTGACATCCTCTGGCATGGGCAGGCAATCCGTGCGGCTGGTGTAGCACAAACTGTCAGATTCCATGTTTTTCTGATAGGCCAGGAGTTGTCAGTTTGTGGTGAGTCAGCTGGTGCCGGGACAGTTCCCAGATCTGACATTTAAACGGTGCCAGCAGTAGGAAGAGCTGAGCCAAGGCGCTCATTCATACATGGAGATTTATTCACCTCCTTCTCGTATTTACCAACAGCTCTGGTTTCCCTGAATGTGTCCTTCATTTAAGGCTACTGAGCAAATATTTTCTGGGTCCTATTTTTAAAGGTTCTTGATCAGTCCAGTTCAGGGGCTCAGCGTTGAGAGTTCAGGCTGGTTTAGTGAAATGAATTGATTGCGTGGTGCGGGCTCACTTGATGACAGGATGCATTTTCAGATGCTGAGATTCCCATCTACACATTCATTTGTCATAGCAGTTCTGCCAGTGGTGCTTAAAAGGTGCTGAATGAGAAACATTCCTGCCAGTTGTCTTTAAAAAGATCCCGAGGGCACAGCTAGATGCAAATACAAGCGGCTGATCTTGGAGATAACTTTTACTGTAATTGCCTGGTCCTAATTTCTAGTGTGAATCTAAGGCATAGAGAAATAATAAGGTAGCACACAGACACATTAGCCAATGAACTGAGGTGGATGTGATGCACTGAAAATATTTCATGGAAGGAGAGAAAGAAAGGGTGGAGGAATGGATGAAAGAAGGGAAGGAGGACTGGCTTATTTCTGTACTAAAATCTCTTGCTGTAATTGACTCGGTTAGCTCATTTGTTAGTGATAACATTCAAGGAAAAGATAGTATGGGATATCGGGGGAAATCATTGCCCAAGGGACAGTGGAATTTAAATCCACTGAAGATCAGTTGTAGAAACTTTGGTCCAATTTTTCTTTTCCTCTCCCCCAGGTTTCCTATATCAAAACTCCAAAGCAAGTGGATGAATTTATTGAAATCCAGAGCTCAACAGGGACCTGGTACCAGCGGTGGATGGTCAGAATCTCAACTACTTTTAAACAGGTAAAGAGAATTAAAAACATCCCACAAGGGCTTTTGAGCTTCTTGAGGCTCCAATGCGTCATTGCTTCAGGTCATTGTGTCTTGAAACCCTGATTCTCACTCAAGAATATCTCCTGGTGTTTGCAAAGGGCTGTAATCTGATTGCACTTCCAATGCAGACTGGTGAATCTGCAAACTGCCACGCTACCAGCCAGGGCCCAAAATGCCTCTGTGAGCATCACAGTAGTCCTGCTGTGCAGAGCTTCCAGGACAAGTGCCAGGCATTGACTCTTCTGAGCAGATAAATATTGATTTCCTCTCCCCCAAGCCGAAACGAATTTACCACCCACAGTGGATTCAGAAGAGTGTTTGCACCTTGTTCCTGCTGAGGCTGAGTTTCTAACAAGGTTATACTGTCTCTTCTGCTAATTTAACCTGTCACACATGCTATGCTGCTTACCTACGCCCATGCAGAACTTGATGGAAAATCTTGCTAGATACAGCATAGGAAGATGAGCTTAAAGTAAAGCAGAGTCTTTCTTATTTAATAGCAATAGAGGTGCTGTACTATTGCTATATTTATGTAGCAAGTTAAGAGCATTAGTTGCATCCCCTCATATTCTTGGCAGTATTTTCTGCAACAGGTCAAGATGAGCAGGTTTTGGTCCACCTCCTGCTCTGCTTGGCTCCATCCTGGTCTAAGTTAATCTTATCCCTCTTAAAGGGCCAGCTGCATTTGGGTTTTTGCTCTTCAGTGAGCTCTGGAGCTTGATTTGAAAGCTCCCCTGAGACCATGCATGTATTTGAAAAGACAATGTCAGAGGGTTTGAGAAAAGGCTTGTGTCTGCATTTACTGACACAACCTGAGAGAGGCACTGCATTACCCAGCTCAGCCCAAGTCGTGCTCATCAGAGAGGGTTCAGATCAAGCACCCTGGCACATAGCTGAATAAATGATCTTTTTATAAGCCATTTATCTTGGTAAATATAATTCTGAACAAACACTGAACATGAGCCACACATCTGAGCCTTTTGTGAGCCCTTTTTACTGGCGTTAGATTTATGATGCACTCAGAGTCTGCTAGGGTGTCCTTGCAGCTCATTCTTTCTTGTGGATTTGTAGGTCTGGGACAACGTGCTATATTGTTTAACAGCCCAGTACAGGATGAACACACTGATGCTGGCTGTGGTTTGGTTTACAATGGCCTTAAGGTAAGGTACTTATTTAACTCAACATGCTTTTGAGATAAGCTGAGTGTTTAGAGCAGGGAGACACTTTGCTTGGTCCTGTGTCAGAGCTAAGCAAGAGTTTGTATCAGAAATGCTTTTGCATTAGGTGTTTAACAAGTTTACATGGTATGAAGTAGGTCATTGTAACTTGTATCCCTAATGTATGTCTCCCATCCTACTACAGTTACTATGGCCTTATTGTCTGGTTCCCTGATATGATCCGGTATCTCCAAGAAGAGGCATATGAATCCCGAATGAAGGTCTTTGATGAGGAAGAAGTTTCACACTTCACCTTTAATTTCACTCTGGAAAACCAGATCCATAGAAATGGGGAATACAGAAATGATAAGTAAGTGAACAGAACCTGGTTTGATGCATGTGGACTGAAATTCATTTCTAGAAATCTTTTAGATAGAGAGAGATTTTTTTTCCACCACCTTGTAAATCTGTTGTTTTTTTGGACACAGTCTGTATCTCTCAAATCCCAAAGGCAGTTTTCCACAGACCAAATATCCTTTTTATCCTGGTTTTCACACGCTCTGCCTCAGACACTCCATCTCCAGATCCAAAGGGGTGCGTGTGAGGAGTCCTGCTCCCAGCAGCCCCGCCTTGGGAGCGGGACGGTGGGAGCCCCGGTTGTGCTGGGTACGCTGAGGTGACTTCTCTTTCCTTAGCACACACTGACATCTACTGGTTTTGGGCAGCAGAGCTCATCACTTGCAACGAAACTGCTCTCTGCTGCATTGCCAAAACGAAAAGCTATTCTCTCTTGAAGTCTTTGATATGACTTATCCTGCTCTCCATCCTGCAGCCCATTAGTGCGTGCTATGCCATGGCCAGTTGTACTGGTGTGCTTCTCCCACACCGGCCAGCATCTCCCCACAGAACGAGTGTGTCACCTTCTCTTAGTGCTCTAAAGTCAGTGAAGTTGCTCTGACAGAACAAGTGTTTTTCTCCCTTTCTTCTATTTGGTCTGGGCCTATTGGTGTTTTCTTCTGCATCCAGCCTAGACCAAATCACTATAGTGATTCCACACTACCACTACAGTGGTTCCATACCACTATAAATCCTAGTGATTCGTAGCAGGCTATTATTCCTCTTCTAAATACCAATAAAATGGGTGGGAAAATACCCCTATGTAAATTCAGTGGAGATGTCATTGCCCCAGGCTAGACTGGGTGTTGCTCCAGCTGCCTTGCACTATGTGGGGAAGTCCCACGGCATGTTCAGTGTTACACAAAACATGCATTGTTTTAGTCTTCACAGATGAAACCATACCTCATCATCCAACCAGGTTGTTCCTCTCCTCTCAGAAAGTATTTGTCTCAATTTGCTTGGTATATATCTGATAGACATTGGTGGGGCACCCCAGCATGTGTCCTCATGTCCTTCCAGAGACCTTCCCTGCAGCAGGAGCTGTGTTTGATTGTGCAAACCTAGCCCTCTATAGGTATACTCCCCTGCTTATCAAGCAGCCAAACAAAGTCTAGTAAGAAGTGGATGGTGGTCAAATTCAGGGATTGGGGACCCTTATCTTATGCCCAGAGGAGGTGTTTAGTTTAACTAACTTCATTGAGAATTAAAGGTGTTCAGCATCTTGCAGGATGAAGACAAAACTGTGTCCATCACTATTCTCCTGCTTTGGTCCTCTTCAATTCAAAATCTCAAAAGCTGATGAAGTTACATTCCAGTAATACCCAGAGCACATCTGAGTATGATTTATAGCTGTGTTTTCCCTCCAGCCCTTGGCTGTGAGATAAAACTCCATTGAACACTAGGCCATTGCTACATGACTCTTTTAAAGATGGGTATTAAGAAATCAAACTGCAGGAAAAGGGGCTTCTAACAGCCTTTGGGAGTAAATACATCACTGGCTATTACTGAGCAAATGCAGAACAGCTTAAGTTTTCCTGTAACCTCTAAGACCTTCTACATGGAACAAAAGACTTGAACAGTCTTCTTGTGGTATCTTGTGCATTAATAATATCTGTTAGTAGCTTCAGTTAAGAAACCCTGCAGTGCTCACTTACTGGTGTAAACAGCCATCATGCTACAGCGCGTTGTAAGTGCCCAATTCAATTAGGATTCTGGGTATATGTTAGAAGGTGACAGGTATATGTTATTTGCTGACAGTTGTGGCCTCTTTACAGCAATAACAGTTGTTCTTAATAGCTCTTTACATCTTCCACACATGCCTGTGCATTAACTAATACATCTTCTCAGTGTCCCTGCAGAGTTTCACAGGTAAATCAATATTGTGTCATCCTTCAGGCAGGCAGGTCAGACATGTCAAGCTTCCCATCAGAGGAGAAATCAATCACCTGACACAGCTGATTATTTTTAGTGTAATCTGTTTTCATTACGCGAGAAGCGATAGTGCTCAAACAGAGATGGTTACAAGCAGAACTCAGATAATCTTCCCACTCTCGAGAAACATTTTTTGCTTAAAAATCACTTCAAGCTTAAACAACTGTCAGAAGGCTTTCACTGAAGAGCTTAATGGGCTCCTGACAATGCCTGGGTTTATTTATGCTGGAGGAAGGGGCAGAATAAAGAAGGCAGCAAGGTCAGCTCACAAAGAGAATGCCATGCACTGAGTGAAATATGTCTTCTTCAGATGAATGTGTACTGAATGTGAGAGGATTTCTGTCCACTCAGCCCTAGAAGCACATTAAAGGTCCATCTCTCTTTAAAAAAAAAAAAAAACCAAACCCTTTTCAAACCCTTTTCTCTTACTAAAATACAAAATATGTAGGTATGGAGCTGCAAGGACATTTACACATCCAAGCAACACCTCTCCTGTAAATGACCCTAGAAACTGCCATTATGCTCTGTCTTTTCAAACAACCCTCACATGCTATACAGTGTAGAAAATGTCTTAAAGCACAGGGTGAAGTTCTGTTTCCTGCTCACAGATTTATTGGCATGAAGTTCAAGGAAGTGAGATTTGAGCATTCATTGTTTGAGGACTGCTACTTTGAAGATGTGACATCCAGCGAGACCTTCTTTGAAAACTGCACCATCATCTCTACTATCTTTTATAATACTGGTAATGAGATTCCTGCTATGGTCTCCTCTCCATTCCTAGTAATCAAGCACTGTTTTATCAGACTCTAGGGAAAAGGATGATAGGGATCTGTGTGTTTGTGTGTGTGCTGGGTAATGAGAGTGATGATGGAAAAAAGAGGGTGATGTATTTGGAAGGAGTTTTCAGGTTGCTCTACTGGTGTTTTTAACCACGTGGCTTCTGGCATCATTGGCTGCCACACCGGAAATGTGAAAGACTGGGCTCAGACTTCGGTAGGTTAAAGTAATGGCAAAATGCTGAGCACTTTGGCAGCTCAATTGAACAAATACAGCTTAAAATACAACTTTAGCCAACCTGTGTTTGATGATCATTAGCAGTGTAGCATTTATTAATCTATCCTGAGATCAGTCAAGCAGGATTAAGACTTTGCCTCTTTCCCTCACAGATCTCTATGAACACAAATTCATCAACTGCAGGCTCATAAACAGCACGTTTATGCATGAGAAGGAAGGCTGCCATCTGGACTTTGAGGAGGACAATGATTTCTTGATCTACCTGGTCAGCTTCCTGGGCAGCCTGTCTGTGCTGCCAGGCAACATCATCTCTGCGTTACTCATGGACAAAATAGGGAGGATAAAGATGATCGGTGAGTGGGCCTGGTGGGTGCATGGAGCAGGTCATGACTCTGCAAAGAGCCAAGGTTATTGTGAAGGTCTCGCTACATCTGCGCACACTGATGCAAGCAGAGATGTCTCAGGTGGGGATGACTTGTTCCCATATCAAATACAGCAGAAGGGTCAAAAGGCTTGAGGGTGAGGCAAGGGATATACTCTGTCAGTGAGCAAGCTACTTGCTCCCCATCTCCTCACCCTGCTTTTCTGTGTATCTGTGACATCCTCCTTTTTTATGTTAGCTTTTATGTCAAAGCCTGTATGTTTATCCAGTGCGCAGCGCAACGGGGTCAGAACTGAAGCAGGACCCCTTGGTGTTGTTGAGTTGATGCTGACATTCGTAGCACTCTGTATTAATAAGCCCTTTGCTTGTAGCAATGAATATTCACAAAGATTATTTGATGTCGCTGCTTGACAGCCCAGCAGTTCCCTCTTTTGGTTTTCTGATTTTCAAATGATTTTACAAACAGCTTCAGAGAGCATGTGTTAGGTTAAGTGACCATGCCACACTCAATCCCTTTAGCATTATGGGAAGAAGTTATCACCTTATCAACTTTATGGTTACTTTGGGGACTTCTGGTGTTGTTTCCCCCAGGACTCAGACCTTGCTCTCCAGGTACTATGGAAATCATGCCTCGAGGGACAGCCAAGTGAGTTTAATAAAGTCAGTGATGTAGCTCAGGGGTAAGGGATGAATCGCTTTCTTGAGCTCACCTCTCTTCTGAGAACAGGGGCAAGTTTAGTTAGCTTAGCCTCACCATCAGTCAGGCTAAGGTAAGCAAGGTGACCCCACCAGTGTGTCAGGAAGGCACCCTGAGCAGTCATGTAGTGAATTTGGAAAAGACCCTAACAAACCAGAGGGTCTATGGGAAATAAAGCAAGCTGAATGGGAATCAGATTGCTCACCCTGCGAACATGTCAGCATTTCAGCGCTTTGATCTGGAACTGAGCCGACAGCTGGAATCCTAAATGATTATTTCTCCTGCAGAATGAAATGTACAGGGCAAAAATTAGTAAGGACACACTGAAACGTTTCACTGTGGAATTTTCAATTGAAACAGCTTTTTGGCATCCCACCCATATCACTCTGTTGAACGTATTATTTCTGGTCAGCTAAACATGAAAACTGAGTTTTCTTTTGCATTATGTGCCTTGCTGGGACTTCGGTTTTATTACGTTGCATTAAATCCTCCCCTGTGCCAAGGAGCAGATCTCCTGGTGCCCACATGGTGGCCCTCATGCAGCACTGCACAGTGGGGGATGTAGTCTGGCCAGGTACCATGGAGGAGAAGTGGGTGTGGGGTCCTGCCCCGCAGCTTTTCCTAGGCAGAGCACCACAGCAGGCAAGATGCAACATCATGTCCAAAAGGAAGCATTTCAGTTCCAGTTCAGCATCCAAATAATTCTGGATGGTGCCAAATGGATTCAAAAAAACCCAAACAAACAAATTGTTTGGTTTCCTGAGAGCAAATGGAGACATTCCTGCAACAACAGAAATTTCCAGTAAAAGATATTTCAACTCAGCAAGAGTTGCATCTTTCAGGTGGAAATTCCCAACAGGGTAGAAGGCAGGGAGGCCGCTATCCATCTTTCTGAATCTCAAATGTGCCTAACTGAGCATGAACGCTCTCACTTTCTCCCTCAGTGGTATTCATAAAATTATGGCTCCTGTGCAAATGTGCCATGAAATCTAATGATGTTCTGATAATTAAAAGAGACCTCAAGTATTTAATACAATCGACTGTAAATTATCCTAATTGGCACTAGAAATGTATCAAGTGATTTCAGTAAGATATGAAATGCACAAGCTCTTCACTCAAAACTCATGCTGAAAAACCTTCACAGTGATTCTTCCTCCCCATTGACTTGCCTGTGCTCTTCTTGGGTCCATCTGGAAGCTTGAGATGCTGGAAACCTGCCTGGAAAAAGCCTGTCTTCAGAGTCTCCATAGAGAATACTATCAGCAAAATCAGATGGTCATTGAGAACATTTTCAGGCTGGTTTCCAGCATCAGAGAACGATAGATAGGCAGCATCAAGGTATTTTTTGATTCTTGAAGATTTAGTTCATTCTGGGATGAAACACCATCACTTGAAAGCCATCTTTATCAACAAATACGTTTGCTCATCTGTAGACAGGGGAAACCAGTGCCAACATTCTTCTCTTGGTTGCCCCCCTAGGTGGCTCGATGTTGATCTCAGCAGTGTGCTGCTTCTTCCTCTTCTTCGGCAACAGCGAGTCGGCAATGATCGGCTGGCAGTGCCTCTTCTGCGGAGCCAGCATCGCTGCCTGGAATGCCCTGGATGTGATCACTGTGGAGCTCTACCCCACTGACAAAAGGTGCTCAGAATATTGCTTCTTTTAGTCTCCATCCTCTGACTTTGTCCTTTTAGTGCACACAGAATCATTAGGGTTAGAAAGGACCTCTAGATATGACCTGGTCCAACACCCCTACCAAGTCAAGTCACCTAGAGCAGGTTACACAGGAACACATCAAGGTGGGTTTTGAGTGTCTCCAGAGAGGGGCACTCCATGAAAAAGCCACGCTAGACACATGTAGATGGGGAAGGATCTTCACCAGTCCTTAAGGGCTGGGTAGTTCTGCAGCTCTACTGGATCTGCACAGACATTCATGAGCATAATTCTGTATGCATGGTGGCTTGTACACAGGGAGTCCTGTGGGTGTATGGAAATTATAGGCAGATAAAATACAGAGTCTGTCATTTCCATGGATGTTCGTGGAGGTTTGGCCTTTCAGATGTATCCTCCAGCCTCTTGTCATAGCGCATCGCTGTGACAGCCTTCCCCTCCTCAACCTGGAGACAGCCTTGTGCAAAGATTGGCTTGAGAGATGGGGCAGCACAGGAAACTTTGGGAGATTGTGCTGCAGATCGTATCTTTCCTCACAACATCATTATAAGCCTTTTTTTGCCTTTTCCAGGCTGCTGGGAGAAGCCTGAAGGGAAGGAGAAAGACTGTGCTTTGAAGGCACAAGCTTTTGGGTGAAGCAGGATTTGGAGGAGAGCTGTTATTGGCTCCCTGGTGACAACCCACCCCTGCCAGCACTTGGAAGGGTTTTGACAAATTCTAGAGTAGGTTGTGTCCTGCTGTATTTGGGGAGGCCAAAGGCTGACATAATGGGGCACTGCAGGACTGGGGAGAAGCTAAGATGGAAAAGAGAAATGAATACATCCAGGCATTCCACTTAATCACACAGACATGAGAAACAGTGATATCTATTTATCCCTTTATTTATTCTGCCTGGCTTTTCTTGCTAGAAGCATAGCCTGGGGAACACAAGAGCGTTCACAAAATCACCCATCCAGATCTTCTGTAGTTACACCTGCTTTTCTTTTCCACAGGGCAACAGCCTTTGGCATCCTCAATGGGCTTTGCAAGTTTGGTGCCATCCTGGGGAACTCAATCTTTGCCTCCTTTGTAGGGATAACTAAGGTGGTTCCCATCCTTCTGGCTTCCTCTGCTCTGGTTGGAGGTGGCCTGCTCGCTTTGCGCCTGCCAGAGACTCGAGAACAGGTCCTGATGTGATCAAGTGAGTCCAAAGAGGTTGGGGGGGGGCAGATGCAGAAGAACTGAAAAGAGCCATATTTGGGGAAATCAAAATGTCCATTTCTACATTGTTCTGTTGATACCTCAAAGAAGACAATGGAAGCAAAGAAGAGCCCAAAGGGATAAAAACACTCCCCCTAAAACACCATTTAACAGTCACGACTGGTGCATGCAGCTACCACACATCCCTTGCAGAGCTTGGGTTTAACCTAGCCTACGCTGGGAGCCTGCCCTTTCCTCTACACCCCAGTGTAACAACACAAGAAGAGAACATCTGTTTCATGCATGTGTGAGCGTGTCTGACGGGAGAACAGATCCTGACCCCCTCATGCCTTTGCTGAGCTGTGAGATGCTGCCTTGCCTGGTGCTCCTTGGCAACTCTTATCAGCTATGCTCAGACACAAAGGGCATCTGGAGTTGAGGCAAGCGGCAGATCTACTGTAGGTGAGCTCCAGCAATAGGGACTGGAGCAACAAATGTGGCTGGTGACCCTAACTGTCTTGATTTGGGGGTTACCAACTAAGCCACCTGCAAGAGAGAATCCTGATTTCTGGAGGATGTGAGGGTGGATGCTCAGCTCTCACAGAAGATTCAGAGTTTCAAAGCCCTTTATTGTCTTTACTCGGGCATAGAGAATCACTATGGTCTGGGAGAGGAATATATACATAATTTTATATATATATATTTACACATACTTGCAAATGTACTCACATATTGAAGTCATCAGCTATTGAAATTTGCAATTTTTAATCTCAGCACGGTTAAGATCTTAAAAGAGACACTAAAAAGAATCCTAATAATTCAAGATTATCTGCAGTCATAACCAACTTAGTGACACTTCATTCTTTATATCCAGACACCAAATATTTAAATGTATTGATGGCTGGGAATATATATTTCTATGATGATTCAGAGGGTTTTTTTCCTGCTGTTTTCACAGAGGATGAATTGATAAGATGTTGGAGCATTCCACAAACCAAATGTGTACATATTATCCAGTGCAAACAGGGGACTTTTTGTCAAATACCTAAAGTATGGTAACTGTGAATTTACCAGCATTTTAGCCATATTATTTAAAGAATATGATGTTTGATTTTCTTATATTCTTGGGTCTCATTGAAGCACTATAAGCACAGTTACTTAAAGCCATTTAACTTGTTACACAGGGAATGCACGCAGCAAGCTTTCACTGTACAGAACATTAAATTCTCCATTAAGTGGCCCATTTAAATTTGATATCCTGTAAAGACCATTTCTGAAATTCATATGCTCTTTTTATCATACAGCTTAAGTCCTGTTGCATCTAAAAGCAGCGTGAGTTGCGTAGTTTGGGCTATATTTTCTTGGGAGGCGAGAATGAAATGCATACTGTTAAACACACCAGTGCTCACAATTGATGAGATAATGCTAATTAAACCCTTTTAACAAGCCCAACAATAGACCACAATTGATCACAAACTGTCATATAATGCAGGAAATTTGTCTCACCAGGATATTTAGTGACATAAAAATTTCTTTGTACTTTTGCTATTGATCTTCCCATTTATCTTTCTTTGGATCCATTTTTTTCTTCCTTTTTTCCACTTTTCTGTAAGAAAAACAAGCAAGGCTAGGCTGGAATCCAGCAGGTCTGAAGTCTAACACCTCTGCCTTCAGCTGCACAGAGAGCCAAGTACATTAGCAGCACAGGACCAGTCCCATGCAACAGCGGGGACAGCCGAAGGATGAAGAGCGTGGTTAGAGCACAAGAAGCAAATCCTTTGCCGATGAGGCAAAACCCTCTAATGAGCATCGCTTTTACCCTTGTGTCAGTCAGGGATAAACACTTACAGAGCAACTAGGCTACAATGGGCTATTTGGGATGTTTGAGATTTATTCTGAAGCTTATGAAATTGATAGAATCACAAGCTGCCATAATAACCAAGCTCATTATTCCTCATTTCTTCATTTTATGGGTAGCTTAGGGCCTCTTTTGATTTGTCTTCAACACAGCAAGGTTCCTTCTCTAAGGTAGGAGTGAATGTAATTATGTCCTTTGGCAGCAGTTTACAGCTTCTGTTGAGAATCACAGCCCAGAACATGGTTTTGGTGGTTTTGTTTCTCTAAGAATGTCTGGTCCCTTTGCATGGTGAGAAGCAGCTAGATACATATTTCAACACAAAAGATGACAATGGTCTTTAAGTTTCATCCATTTTGCTGGGCTGTGCATACCAATTACCACATTCCAATGTTTCGTTTTCTGGGCTGTTCTGTTGCGCCGTTCTCTATTTATTTTATGAAGCACTCTTATGTACATATCACCCAGTGCTCTGACAGCAAACCTGACCCTTTGTGTTCTCCACTGACATTGTACAGTGACAGTAATGACGTCATTTATTTTGCAAAACTTCTCTGTTAATTTTCAGAGAAGGAAGAAATTGCGGTCTTGAGGAGACGGAAATGGCAAAGTAATCATAGAATCATAGAATAGTTAGGGTTGGAAAGGACCTTAAGATCATCTAGTTCCAATCCCCCTGCCATGGGCAGGGACTCCTCACACTAAACCGTGTCACCCAAGGCTCCGTCCTACCTGCCCTTGAACATCACTGTAATGGTAGGAAATATCCAGTCTTAGAAACCTTTCTTCTTTACAGAACGCCTTTCTCACAGGCTGCTAAACCTCCCCTTCGAGAGATTAGCTGGGACAGGGTGAAGAGCAATAGGACCTTGTTGTCAATGTCACACAAGCTACCCATACTGCTGCAGAAACCCTTTGCACCCCTAAAATCCATGGGTCAGTCACTTGAGGGCTAGAGGACAATGCAGGTGTGTTGTGACAAGGTGCCTGTCCCTGACGAGAGAGTTTGTGACCTAATAGGAAAGGGCAGACATACACAATGGCCTAGGAAAGGACAACGATGAACAGAGAAGGAAGAAAGGGAAAGCTAAAGAGAAACAATATCACCTAGCCTTAGACATCTATAGTTAGATGTCGGGATCTGAACTCGTCTCCCTGTGTTCCCACTATTCTCAGCTGAAACACATAGGCAATATATGTGACCATGCTCAGGCACATTGCTGAGAAGATGGCTTGCCCTGGATAGCTCTGCTTTTCTCCTTCTGTAACAGAGAAATCCAGGGCAACAGCTCCAGCTCAGGCATCAACCTTTTTGATACCTGGACTAACATCTCCTGTCCAACTTCAGCGTGAACAAGGCTTAGTCAATACTCCTCATGTGTTTGTTTATTGTCCTTGTCACGGTGTAAATCAGTGTAGGCTTCACACTACTGCTCTCCAGAACAAAATGATCGATGGATGAAGTCTCCTCAGACTGTGCTCTGATTTGCATCTCAGTTTCAAGCCATGAAATACCTGCCAGGCTGAGCCTGAGCCATTGAGCCCTGGAGCATCATGCAGGGGGAGATATCGCTCAGGCTCCTCCTCTGATGGCTCAGCTTTATTTCTACTGCAAAATCAGCATTATACCTTCAGTGCACGGGACCAGCATGCCTCCTCCATTGGTTCCTCCTGCCTGTCTTTGCCACAGTGAACAGTCTCCTTGTCTTGGATGCACTGGACCATCCACAGAGAGAACTGCTGACCACAGGTCCACTGATGATCTCTGCAGAGCACTGCTTCCTTGGATTCATGAACTTTGCTGCAACAGGGACACAGAGAACCAAGACAGGGGACTTGCCTTAAATCCCAAAGACCTCTTCCAGAGGAAGCTGGACCTCTTCATGCATGCATGGCACACCAGTACAGCCATGCAGCCAGGAACTTTGTGGCGTGGGAAAGGTGGGTCTAGGGAACCCAAACTGGCCTGCTGTGATTTAATGTCTTTAGGGGTACAGCAATGTAAGAGGGTCACAGGAGGAGTTCATTACTGAGTTTCTGAGCATGCAGAAACAGGCATTTAGAGGAACACAAAGCACTGTTGATACTACTATAAGACACCAGTGGTATTACAATAAGAGTTCTGCCTCCTTATCTTTCCTGTTGATTTAACTGGTTGTTGTATACCTATTCCTTTAATTCAGTTGTGCAGGACAGCTCCTTTCCCCTGCCTTTGGCTCTGCTATGTCCTACTGCTGGTGGCTGCAGCCTGTGCTGGGTGGGGTGATCCCTTCCTTGCCCATATGATCCTTATCCCCTTGGAATGTTCTGTGACTTATACCCAGTGCTATATGGATCTTTTGGGCTAAGAAAAGGGTCACTCTTGGAAAACCTGTATCCAGATCCAGACGTTCAGCATACTGGGGAGTGGTCAGGCAGCCTGATGTCCTTCGGTGATACCGGAGAGGCGCGCTAAGGGATATTCCATGAGCCTGGAAGTGGTCCAGCCCCAAGGCTGGGTTCACACAGGGGCACAGAGTGAGGCTGCATGGAGTTGAGCTTTCTGCAGATGTGCAGGTCTTCTCCACATCCTGCTTTGAGACCTCCAACAACAGAGTCTACTCTGATACTGTTATAAGGAGGCCCTAGGTCCATTTATGTTCCCTGATAATGCCCTTTGACTTTCCAAAGGACATATGAAACCTGAGAGTATATTTTTAGGTTTATGTAGATTTGAGCCCCATCTGTTGTATTCCCATCAAGTTTCTCCCTCGGTTTCTTACCCTCGTATTAGCAAACGCCGCTTTTAAGAAGAATCAAACCTGGGAACTGTGAAGGAAGCAAACTGAAAGAAATTTCTTTGCTCTGTGTGGTGTTAGTGCTCTATAAATGTACACACACTGCAAGTTCCACTGTAAATAACACCCAGTGTTGTGCATTTAATGAAATGTTTCATTTAGATGTTCTGTCGACTGTGTGTGAAATAGACAATTCCGGTCCCTTGGTTCCTTTTCATCAATTGAAACCTTTCTTCTTCTATGAGTTTTTTTTTTATTTGATCTGTGTCTGGTTGTCACTGGAAATTGCAGCTGTTTCAATGGACTTTGGTTTTGTTCTCTCTGTCACATTAAAAAGCTGGAAATAAACGAATGACTCTTGTAGTGTTTGTGTTTAATGCACACTTCGGTTCCTTTTACAAGGGCTGCTGCGAGTGACTTCCCCAGCCTGACAACATGGGGACTTCTGATGTTGGCTACTTGTACATCCTTGCTCTCTCAGCTAATCCCACCTTGATTAAGTCTCACTTCTGTCACAGTTCTTTCACGCTGTGTACTTCCTAACACACTACATGGGAAAACCTTTATCCTGAAAAGGTTTTTGGTGGAGGAAGCATGAAATATTTTGAAGTGCCATGCAAAACCAGATTATGTCCTAAAAAAGTGCTGTTTCTCATAACTTGGCACATCATTTGACTATGGTGTGTACTCTTATGGATGTATTTCTAAGGATGTGTGCTATTTATTTGCAGCTGTTTGTATAAACGTAATCATCCACCCCATGCCTTCAGAGCAGGATGACAGAGACCTGTATAATGTTAACAGCCTGGAAGAATCGCTCATGGCATAAGCAATGGAGGCTGCTTGGCAGATGATGGGGACTGTGCAGGTATTTCAACCTCATGCAGCGATGTCTCTTCCCCCAGAGCAACCGAAGGTCAGTAGGGGTTTGATTCCAAGTCAGCTGTGGCTAGTTTTTAAGACATTCAGGTGCTGAAAGGTTGTCAGGTCAATCAGCATTTAGTCCTCTCTTGATGTAACAATGCTAAAGTTAATATTCAAGTGAGAGGTAAAGAGCCAGGAGATCCTGGAAATACAATAAAGGAACCATGAAGGTACCTCCATCATCAAGAGGCTACATGAGGTGTTTTTCTGCATCTGAGGTTCAACCAAGTCCCATTTGAGCTGGGGTCCTGCTGAGTGAACCGAAGCCAGCAGCAGTCTGGGGGAGCTGGTAAGGATTGGTCTCAGGTGGGAAGTGGCAAAGACAGGTCTCAGATGGGAGCTGCCAGCTCTGATTTCTGCAATGCTCATGCCTGACTGTTGAGTACAGAACTATAGAGTCGACGGTCTGTAAGCCTCTTCCGTGTGTTCTGCCTTCATGTACGAGTCGGTGTATTAGCAAACACTGTCAAAAAGCTGTTTTCTATGAAGTGGGCTTTTAACTAAGATCAGAGATTTGCACTAAAAGCCTAGGAGGTGCTTTCAAGTGGTCCTTAGCCCAGGCTAGTTGACATTCTGCGTAAGGCTGAAATCTCAGGAAAATCCCTTATTTGAATGTTCAGACAAGCTTGATGATAAAAACTGTGCATAAAAAAGCCCGACTAATTTTAAAGTAGGGCACAGGGAATTTAAGAGTAGGATTATGTGATACGGCTGCCTGAGATAGCATAGGATGGACTGGATGATAAGAAAACCCTTTGAAATCTGTGTTCCTATTTTTCCATATTGATGATTCTACCTTGACCATCTCACATTTCTCACTATGTGGAGTTTCCAGCGCAGATTCCCATAGTTACTGATAAATGACCCAGATTCCCTGGACATACAGGTTCATCCAAGCTGTCACAGAAGGTTATAGGGTGGAGGAAGAAGGCTGGAAATGACGGCATTCCATACAGCCACTAAATCCAGCAATAGGTCTGAGTGATGCTTCCAAATTCTTAAGTAACTCGATACTGGGAGTAGGGTTTCAGTTAGATTATGGTAAGCAGCTCCTATACCTTAAACCCTGGTTTTGAGACTCTTAAAGTAGAGCTCAAACTTAGGAATTTGAGCTCATGCTTGTTGAAAAGTCAAGGGAAGAACAGCAACTTGTCCAGACGCTTATTGCTGGGAAGCGGAGCCCTGTTTTTCCAGCTTGTGGCAGAAATTGCTGGACACTGAGTTCCCTGCCAATTCGCAACCATTGATGTGACTTTGTGACTGCTATGGGGTAAGGCTGTGTTTCTCAGACCAGCTTCTTGTAATCAGAGCTAAATTATTACACCTGACTTTACTGATCCTGCCCCAGCTGTTTCGGGCCCGAAATTAGTCCTAATAAGGCCAGGAGATGGCAGCAGTTACACACAGCATAAACTGCGGGTTCCGGGTTATATAGCATTGACTGCTGGAGGCTGCGCCTAGGAGCAGGACTCGCTGCCGGGACCCCTTCATGCGCAGACGGGATACTGCAGCAGTGCTATCAGGTACAGTCACAGGGATCTGACCCCCAGGAACCTCATGTAATAGGGCAGTGATTGGAAAGTTTAGAGAAGAGCGAGCCCTGGTTAGTACTAAAGCTTTTGGAATGGGAGATGTGCAAACCTGAACAAAGCAAATGTAATTATGGGGTGAAAATGCGAGAGTTCAGTGGACTTGTGCAATTCTTTTCAAGCTTTCTTAGCCTGCTGCTCTTATGTGTTTTCCAAGGGAGATGTAAATTCCTTGTAAAAATATGGTGAGACTCCAGTTAGAGGAGAAAAGCTCTGGGCTGGCCAGGGCCTTACCCATAGGAACCCCTCAGCACAAGCAGTGACCCCTGAGGCAGCCTGTTGAGATGCTGCAGTGAATGGGTTTCATAGACAAGATCTCCAGCCCAGCTAATTACGGCAAGATATCACCAGCATTTCTTCCTAGGTTCAAGCCTCAAGCACAGGCAGAACCTTCTGCAGTCAAAATCTGAGCTCTTAAAATGAGAAGTTTCTTCCTAGGGTGGTTTTATTAACCCTTCCCACATCCCTGTGTTAGAAATATAAGACAAGGGACAACACATATATTCTTAAGTGCTATTGCTTATCACCTCAAAACAACCTGATCCTCAATGCCTTCCCTAACTGGGTGGCAGGTGATTCAGACCAGAGTACTGAACCTGCTGAGTATTAACCCAGTAACACCAACAAACACTGCAGTTTTCCTTCTTGCAGTGTGGAGCGAGCACAGAGCTCAGCTTGAGACCTGAGATGTAGACAAGCTGGGGCTTTACCCCAGCCTTATGAGCTTGCTCCCATCACAGCTGGATGCAGCTGCTGGCCACCGTGGGGTTTATGCTGACAGCTTCTCTCTGAGAACTAAGAGTTTAGGATTCCATGGAAAGCTTTTGCTTCACCACAGAAAACAAACAAAGGAGCCATCCGGTAAATGCAAACAGATCTAATTGTGTGGAGACCAAAGGTGGATCTCAAGTGCCTTCATTCCTCTCTTTGTAACCCTGGCAAAGTAAAGAGACTTACTCCAGGGATCTTCCCGGGGTTGCAGCCTGTCTCCATGGTGGAATGCCACAGGCAGGACAGCAGCGGGAGCCGGCTCCACACCAGCTGTGGGATATCAGAAGTTGGTCATATTTCTCCAGAGGGAGCCCTTTCTTCATCTTGAAATCTTCTGCTCCAGCTTGGGATGCAAAGGTTGTGCTCAGCCTCTCGAATACATCTTTGAATGACAAATTCAGCACTTGAATTCTTTCTTATTCAGGATAAGAGCTCTGAAAAATTCCCAGCAGCCTGTTCCTTCCCTCAGACCCCTAAATAACAAACTGCTCCTCAGGAACCAGGCATGAACTGAGCACATAGGCCTATAAATATTTCAGAGCAACTTCTTTACAGCCTTGTTTAACTCTATCCAAAGAAGCCACAAAGAGTCTGCAGTCCTGGCTTGGTCCAGCTGTAGGATCCTGCTAATCACTTTGTCCTCTTTCACATCCCACCTGGACAAGGACAGGATTTGTCAGGTTTGTGTTGGTCTCTGGGCCAGATGTGAGTAGTGACTCTTGCTCTGAGTGCTGACCTCTGCATCGGGGCCCAAGCGACCTTCTCTGGCAGATTTTCAGAGGTTTTGGGATACCGGTTACCATTGAATGTCCTGAAGCTCTGTTGCTTTGCTGGCTTTTATCTCTGGTGTTGCAGCATGTCCCTCCTCCAGGTCAGTCAAAACAGCTTTTTCTTTGAAGTGGTGCAAATTTAGCTCCAGGTAACCAGTTCGCTTTTCTCCTTAGGTCAAGGTTCAGTATAAAACTTAAGTGGGAGAAATGCTGGTTAAAGAGAAAAAAGAAGTTACTCTGGGTCAATGTCACACTCACCACAAAGAAGTTCAAGGCTGAAGTGTATCCTTAAATCACAACCATGACTACTGCACCTTTCTGATGTCCACTGGGGATGAAATACTGCCCTAGATAGGCTTTAGAGGTAGGATTTTACAAAGAAGAAGAAATCCAAATGGGAGAATGATGCAAGGAAATGTTAAAATTCAGCTTTTCATGGCCACTCCACTTCAGCTCTGGGAGAAATTCTTATCTGGAAATTGATATCCTAGTCTGCTCCTTGGCAGTGCACAGGTAGCCTGAACAGCCTGGTGGTTCTTGTCTCAGGATGCTCAATCGACAGCAGTGAGAAGATAAACCTCTCATACCACCTGAGAGAGACAAGACCAAATCTTATATCCACTGTTGCAGGAGTAAATGGTGTCACAGAGAAGTTGGCTTCCCCACCTCAAACCCTGTGCTCATAGGGGAGAATGTGTGGCCAGTTGTTGGAAGTCTTATTCACTTAGGGATGGTGTTTTGAAGAAATTCATTGACAAGAGGAGCAGCTTTGAGATTGGCTCTGCTGAGGGGAAACTTGGCAACCTCCAGTTTGCTATCATTCCTTTTTCAGGACTGGCTTAAGACTTTGGAGCAGGCTTAAGTAGGGATTTTAACATGATATTGTCTGGATGTTATCAGAAATATAGAACATTCTATTCTCCAGGGTTGTCTTTCTGGTTGCATTTGCCAGCAAAGAATGCTGAGCCCTTGCAAAGAAACAGAACAACCTCAGATAAGAACCACAAGTAATATAGACAGAAAGCCTGTATGCATGAGATAGTTGCCTCTGATGAAGTGGGCATGTGATCTTAAACAGGGTAGCTATTCACTGGAAAGCTGACAGTTCTTTCTCTTCAGAAGAAAGACTTTGCAAGTTAGATGTCTGTGGTGATTCACAGCACGGCAAAATGACTTTCTGTCTCCTTTTGTTTTTCTCTGGTTTATGTCTTCATCTTCAGGTATGGCTTCCCCAAGTATCCACCTTCATTTGATAAGGCTGGAATCTGGTGACATGATGCAAACGCAATGTTGATATTTAGGCAAGATTATGTAAATCCAATATATTCAGTCACTGTAGTCCTGGGAATTCTCTTATCAGCAACATAATTGAGAATGCATTCCTCTGGTGTGAGAGAGTGGCAGGGAAGGAATTAGGGCTGAGCTAATCACCAGGCATCTCTCAGCCAGGATTTCCTGATACATGACAAGGAATCGGCACAGGTGAGAAGTTTGTACAACAGAGATTTCCACTCAAGGGCCAAGCAAAAGGCACACCAGTCATTCTTGTGTAACTGCACAAAGCATTAAAGCCAACATGGAGTAAAGCCTGGATCTTTCTCTTGCTACATAGGGATCCCAGTTTAGTTTGGTGTCTGCCCTAGATCTGATTCAGGGAGAAAGCATTACAGTTTCCTGTTCTGAGCTGCTCTGTGATTGTAGCCTTAAGCTATTAGTTCTTGTGTTCCCCTTTCACTCTGTAACAAGAACCTGTTGCCAGACTACATTTACGGGTAAAGTCCTTGGATGGTGGCCTGATTAATGTGGTTTCAAAATGACACATGGGTGATGATGCTGTCAGTACCTACATTATGCTCTTGCATCTTTCTTACTACTTATCTTCGCAATAACAGCTCACAAGTGACTCCTTTGTTTTCCTTTGGACATAGTTGAGCTTTATTTATTGTCATTGTTGTTATTACTATTATCAAGGTAACCTGGCTCATGGACTTACAGGCATTTGGTAATGACTTCTGCAAATAGCAAAGAAAAATGTACCTTCCAGACTGAGGCATAAGCAAAAGAAGGGCAAGGTGATGATGGGTTTTAAAGAAGTGTCCTTTCAAGTCAAAGATTCATTCCAGATTGAGATCATCATACAGTAAATAATGTACCCGAGTCTTTGACAATAGGAAACAAAGGCACCCTGTTGCAAATATACTATCACTAACATAGCAACTCACATTATTATCTGAGAATAATTATTTTGTCCAAGGAAAGTATAGACCTTCAAAGGAAATAACATCTTAAGTCGCAGCAGATTTTAATTTAAATTCAAAGTGTAGGAATGCACATAATGCCCCATCGCTGTTATCTGGCTGGATTGGTGTCATTACAGTGCTTTAAAGACAGCCCCAATAATTGAACTAAATACCTGCAGCCTAACACTTTGCAATTTCATTTTCTCCTTGTCAGGCTGTGTAATTGATATTTGTACTGGAGGTAACAAAACAGAAAATGTGAAGGTGTTGATAGCTGCCATTACTGTCTCTTAAACTGCCTGAGAGATGGTGAGGACTGGATGACAGTGAGGAACTGGTACCTTTATAATAGGATATAAAACCATTAATGTGGCTAAGCCTGTGGTCAGTGCCTGCCTGGATTAGGATTGTTATGGATCTGATACTGATCTTGTGTGATAACTTCTGCTAGCAGGAAACCCAGTCCTGTAATGAACCAAGAGCATTGACCTCAAGCTCCCAACTTGCTGCAGAATGAGACTGGGGTTCTAAGTTTCTTGAGCTCACCTCTGTGTCTGCAGTTTGCAGCAGAAACCTTGTTAACACCGCTTCAGAAACATAGAATCCCAGACTGGTTTGGGCTGGAAGGGACCTTATAGTTCATCCAGTTCCAACCCCCCTGCCATGGGCAGGGACACCTTCCACTAGACTGGGTTGCTCAAAGCAGCTGGAGTTAATTCAGTTGATCACATTGGAAGATCTGTTTTGACTACACTGATACTGGTATTCCTCTTTTGCAACACTGGTGCTATCTATGCTCGTGTCTGGAGAGAGTAGAACGGATGCCTTAGCAGGTCCTTTCTAAGGAATCAGCTATAACATGGGCCATTCTCCCACTCCAGAGCTAATGTCAACCCAAAAGCTAGTACCTATCTGCAGACTGCTGCTTTTCCAGGTGCTGCAGCAAGCTTTTCCTTAGCCATCATAGCTCTGAAGCTGTGTAAATGCCCGAAGACTTAATCTTCTCCATTGCTTTCTGATCCTTTTAAAGTTTTGCTTTCAATGGGGCTGATGGGTTGTGGAGATGCAAATGGCCTGCAGAGGTAACCCAAAACCTGAGGACTTTGAGAACCAGGACTTTTGTGTTTCGATTATTTGTCAGGAAAACAAAACA